TAACAATTGTTTATTTTAATCAATGTATGATATTTAGTTGCATTTTAGTTTTTATCCATATTTTTACAGATTTACAGGATTTAAATATTTACTGAAAAAAATAAAAAAAAAATTTTAAAAAAAATATATTACCGGCGGATTTGGCCGCCGGAAAATTTTTAAAAATTCTTTTTGAAAATTTTTATTTAAATTAAAAAAAAAGAAAAAAATATTACCGGCGGATTTCCGGCGGAAATGGCCGCCGGTAAATTTATAATTTTTTTTTTGGAAATTTTTATTTAAAAATAAAAAAATATTACCGGCGGATTTGGCCGCCGGAAATTTTTTTAATTTTTTTTTTTGAAATCTTATTTAATTAAGTTTTTCCGGCGAGACAATACTCCGGCGGATCCGGAAAAGTTTTAAATTTTTTTAATTAAGGTAAACCGAGTTACTTAATTTTTCCGGCAAAAGATTTCCGGCGGCCGTAGTCCGCCGGAAACGTGAAAAATCCGCCGGAAAACTCGACGGAAAAAAAATCAGCGGCGCTCTCTTTTCCGGCGGATTTGCGGAAATCCGCCGGAAAACCCAATTTCCGGCGGATTTGTCAGCCGGAAAAGAGGGCAATTTTGGTAGTGTTAGATTGCCATTATATGTAATCAAGTGTTGATCTTTAAAATGAAATTTATTCCTTATTTGAAGTGTTACCAAAAAATTTGAATCAGTCGTTCTTTTATAGATTTTAGGGTGTTACAAAAAAAATACACATAATTTCATAGGTGAACATCAGAAACTACAAAATGTTCTTGTCCAAAACCACCCTTTGCTCACTTATGATTGATATGGAAGCACGTTTCATTACCCGATATTGCAATATCGCCACTAATTTCATCTAATCCGTTGGTTACCAATTTTAATGGATGAGATTGGTTAACAAAGTTTTCATTAAATGTTTGGTTAACAAATGAAGGGACTAGGCTTATATATAAAACTTAATCATTTGATAGCTTCAAAATATACGAGATTCATGACCACTAATTTAAGATTATTAATATTATTAATTAATGAGATAATTATTGTTATTTATTATATAAAAATTAATACATTTTTAGGAGATTACGTCTTTATCTCTCTCTCTCTCTCATGTCTCCCTATTAACATACACATACAATATAAATAACCTTAATAAAAGTTTACTAGGTGTTCACAAATGGTATGTTTAGAAGTAGTTTGTGGTCATCATATCTGCATAAGCAACACACAGAGTGTTTACAAACTATAATAGTATTTCTAATAAGTGTTCACGATGTGTTCATCTCAAGTTCATATTCAATTATTTATGTACACGTATATATTATGAAGAGATGAGGTAGAAAATACGAGAGATAAGATGAAAAATAGGAAAGAGGAGAGAAAATTTTAATTTATATTAAATTTTATTTTTCAATTAATTTATTTTAATTTATAGATACAAATTTGAAATATTAGTAAAAACATAATTCCATTTAGCTTTTCATTTTAGGGGGGAAGGGCTATTAACAGTTGACAATGGTGATGTACTTGAAATATTTGAAGTCCCCACATAATTCATGGACCCACCATTCTTCCAACTGTAACTAGCGGTGATGGTGCTATATTTATACCTCTCCTAGACCTTCCATTATCACCACCTCCTCCTTCCCTACTTTCCTCCTTTCTCAGCTCACTGGAGAGTGCCTGTGTCTGCTTCATCACTTGCATTCAATGGCAGAAACCGGTGGTGGTGCCATTACGGTCACCCAAAAGATAAAAGGATGGTTCCCAGAAAGGGTTCAACTGCACATAGCCATGCTTGCCTTGCAATTTGGTTATGCTGGTTTTCATGTCGTTTCTAGAGCTGCCCTTAATATGGGCATCTCGAAGATCGTATTTCCAGTCTATCGAAACATTCTTGCTTTCGTCCTCCTCCTTCCTTTCGCTTATTTCCTCGAAAAGTACGTATTCTTTAATATATAAAAAGATTGGTGAATAAACAACTATTTGACTGTTGTTAATTAAGTAGGCAATCGAACCATTATGATCATGAAAGAAATGATCGGTATACTGACATCGGTTTTCTTGGGTTTTGATCAATCAGGAAGGAAAGGCCGCCGATCAATCTCAATTTTCTTATCCAGTTCTTCCTGCTCGCGATCGTAGGGTATGGTGTTTGAATTGAAAGCTTGCTAATTAAAGGATGATCGTTTAGGTTTCATTGTTTACAGATTAATTAATTAATGCATGTATTAGGATTACGGCGAACCAAGCTTTCTACTTATTGGGTTTGGACAACACTTCTCCGACCTTCGCCTCCGCGATTCAGAACTCCGTTCCCGCCATCACATTCCTCATGGCGGTGGTTCTCCGGCAAGCTCTCTCACACCTTTGTTTTCTATATATATATATATATATGTGTGTATATATATTGTACTAAACTGTTAACCAAAATTAATCAACGTATTTCAGGATAGAGAAGGTGAGAATAGACAGGAAAGATGGGATATCAAAAGTCGCCGGAACTGTATTCTGCATCGCCGGAGCATCAGTGATCACCCTTTACAAGGGTCCAACAATCTACAGCCCATCGCCATCTCTACACAGCATTAGGGCAACTTCACCGGTGTTGCAGTCACTGGGTGACGCCAACGGAAAAAGCTGGGCTCTTGGGTGCTTGTTTTTGATCGGCCATTGTCTTTCTTGGTCAGGCTGGCTCGTGTTGCAAGCCCCGGTCCTGAAAAAGTACCCAGCTCGCCTTTCTTTCACGTCGTACCAATGTTTCTTTGGAGTCCTTCAGTTTCTAGTGTTGGCTGCGTTCATGGAAAGAGATATCAACGCTTGGCTTATTCACTCCGGTGCCGAACTGTTTAGCGTCTTTTACGCGGTCAGTGACTCGAACCCAATACCTAACTCATGGCTCATGGTTAATTAACCTTAGCCACCACATCAAAGTTACAACCTTTTTTGAAAATTAACGATCTTTCTGAATCTTTTTTGTAGAATAAGATAGGAAAAAAGTGGGTTTTCAACTTCTCTTTTAATGCGAGTGTGTTATAATGCAGGGTGTGGTCGCATCTGGGATCGCATTTGCTGTACAGATATGGTGCATCGACAGAGGTGGCCCAGTTTTCGTGGCTTTGTATCAACCAGTTCAGACCCTCGTCGTCGCTCTCATGGCTTCAGTCGCTTTAGGCGAAGAGTTCTATTTGGGCGGGTACACAACTCACCGTCACAATCCCCACCTTACACGTGCAATCTCATCTTTCTTTCTGCAACTAAAATATATAAAACTGATCAACATCGATCACACACATTGTTTTTTGCTCAAAAATTACGTCTTTTTCATCAAGATGATCTGGGAAACCTCCATAGGAGTGAAAACATTAAGGGTTTGTTAATTCATTGAGTTCTGATGGCTGATTTGACAACTTATAAGTATGAAATGTGAACGTGTATATATATACAAAGACTATAGGCCAATAAACCAGAAGACAGTCATAGTAATGTAGTTTCAGACAAACCCACATGCATCTGGACAACCCTAACCATAAGATTATCTGTACGGTGGGTCTAACCTACCACATGAACTCACAACTACTACTGTGGGTCCTTGGATTTTAAGCTTAATTTACAACAAGTTTGACGGGTTTATAATTATACACGGGTGTGCAGGATAATTGGAGCCGTACTGATCATAACAGGATTGTATCTTGTGTTGTGGGGAAAGAACGAAGAGAGGAAGTTCATGCTACAAAAGCAGCCAGCGTTGGTCCAAGCCCCCACGAGCACAGACCATGGTGCACCGAGGACAACAAGCCACATGATTAAGTCGTCCATCACACAACCTCTACTCCCTCAATCAACCGAAAATGTTTGATCAACATAACCGTTTTGTAACTAGTGTGTGTACTCGCTGGGACTTCAGAAGCAAAATTATGGAAGTTACTATGCATTATTATGTGAGACCGAAAGGAAAAAAAAAGTTTGGTGTGTTTTTTGAACATGTCGTTTTGTTTGCGTGTTCCTGTTTTTAGTGTTGGAATGATTAAATTCAGTGTTACGATATCTTATGTATTACATATTGTGTCATTTGGTCATTTCAAAATCGAAAAATATGAACTCTTTTAAGGCAATCTTGGTTCTAGGGGATGGTATATATATTGCTATTATAAATATTTGTGTATATATATATATATATACGAGGTTTACTTTTCAAACAACGTTATTTGTACAAATCTTATTCAACAAATCATAATTTTTTATTTTGTTCATTTTTTTATAATTATGAGAGATTGATCAATCGTTTTTATTGTGGAGTGTGTTAAGCATCAATATTATCATCTTCATTATATTATTTTTAAAGAAATACATGAAACAGTTTCATTAAAATATTTTAAGTATTATATGAAAAAAAATTCATAACCATATATGAAACAACTTTATCAAAAATAGTAACATATGAAATAATTTCATAAGATTAAACACAATTTATACAAATATGGATGGTTTTGCATTTGATCGCTTTTATATATGTATATATATATATATATATATATATATATATATATATATATGTATATGCATCTTATTTTAAATGTATAAAGTTGAAGTTGAAAAAAGATAAGGATGTATAGTATGTGGATGTTGATGATGATGGCATGGCCTCTACCACTTTAGTAAAAGGGAAAGTGAGAGGAAAAAGGTGAAGGGAAGAATGTGATGATGAGTGTTCCTTAACGTTGGGACCAAGGATCATTAATGTTGATTTAAAGATTTTTATTTAATATTAAAAGTAGATTTCATGCCTACAATATCATTATTATTATTATTATTTTAATATATGGTTTTATGAATTATTTGTGAATATATGTAAACATCATTCAATAACGACAAATAATGCGTGAGGTTTGAATTTACTTAAACTCAAAACAATCTATTTTTATTTTTTATGATATAATTAACAAATGATCATTTTTTAGAGGAATAGATTCGCTACATTTACATTATTTAGAAATCGAATAGAGTAGAATAGGGTTCTAGGGTTTTATAATAACTTAAAAGGCTGACAATCCTGTTCAATTTTAACTGAAAAATAGGTCGTTGAAACAAACACTAACTATATAAACTAAACTTACTTGTGTTTTAAATTTAACGTAATCTAAATTCCATGAGACAGATGAAAACTAAATAGAGTAAATTACGTGGTTGGTTCAGAATCTGGATACAGTACATTTCATTAAGTTCTACATCCCTATACCTAATGTAGTTAAGTTAACTCAAGCGGCAACTTAGTCAAGAGTAGGGCTGTAAACGAACTGAACGAACACGAACGGAGGCTTGTTCATGTTCGTTCGTTTAATTTAACCGAACAAACGAACGAAAATCTTAGTGTTCGTGTTCGTTCGTTTAGAAATCAGGGGTGTTCGTGTTCGTTTATGTTCGTTCGTTAACATGCTAAACGAACGAACATAAACGAACGGGCTAAACGAACATTAAATAAATATTATTTGAATTCAAAGTAAATAAATAAAAGATTATATATTAAATTTAATATATAAACGAACATAAATGAACGAACGAGACTCTTGTTCATGTTCGTTCGTTTAACTAAACAAAAAAAAATTGTTCATGCTCGTTCATTTATTAAATAAACGAACATAAACGAACTTCCCGCCGAACGGTTTGCTGAACGTTCAGTTCGTTTACAGCCTTAGTCAAGAGGAGTATGGGAGGGCCCCTATTAAAATTCAAACAAACACCACTAGGGAGTAGGGAGGAGCTTTTCGGCAACAAAATTTTACGAACGACACGTTTATGTGGATGACTTGTGATGGGGAAATTACCCATCACTTGTATCAATTCACTACTAGAAAATTCGTATTTCCAGCAGAATTTTTGACTGAAAAATTCGTCTGAAAATTATTGGCGGATTTTTCGGTGGACAACTAAAACGTCAACTTCCGTTGACTTCCACCGGAAATTCGCCGGTAAATATATTCCGACAATATTTTCGACGGATTGTACAAATTAAAATTTTAAGAAATTATTAACTCTAATTACAATAAGTTGTCGGTGGATTTCTTTTTTAATTTTTTAAAATTAATGTCCGGCGATAATCCGTCAGAAAATAATTAAAAATTAAAGATTATTATTTTAAATTTTCGGCGGACGCCCGTGGTCGCCGGTAATTTAAAATAATAAATTATTCATGATTTTTTTCTAAATTATTGATTTCCGGCGGATTGTTTCCGGCGAATTTTTGATTTTTTTTTCGATTTCCATACTTTTGATTTTATATATATGTAAAATATTGCATTTATTCCAAATGGAATATATAGTGGATAATAATTGTCTTATCGAGTCTAACAAACACATCCATGTATCCAATGCATACCTATATACAAACACATTATCCGATGTCATTGTTATTATTGGACTTTAAAAACTATTAAAAAAGTTTTATTTGGGTTTAACGGGTCTTAATTGAGCCCAATACAGACCACATGCTCATATGCAATACATGTTTTCTCATAAACACGTATTATACTTTAAGGTAGCTTTTGATACGAAGACATGATTGGACGTGACTGACTGAACAAGACAAAAGTGGATATGATTGGATTATCAAGAGGGTAGGACAGGACAGGACATGACAGGACATGACAGAACTAGACAGAACAAAAGTATGTCTGGTGTTTGGTATAACTAGAACTTGACGGGACAGAACTAGACAAGCTACCCCAAAAATTATTTGATGATTTTAAATATTATATAATAGTTTTAATTAACACAAATAAAGTAAATAAGTAAAGAATTTAATTTATAAATATTTGTACACATTTTTCATATAAATGAACACAAACATATATAATAGTACCAAATTCGAATTAAATTTATTGATATAATTGATAGTAATAGGGGTGGTGGTGGAGGTGGTTTTGGTTATGGTGGTGGTGGTGGTGGCAATGGACGGTGGTGGTCGGTGGTTATGGAGGTAGAGACAGTGATAGTTGGTGGACGACGATGGTTATAGAGGACAAGAAGATGGTGGATTGTTGTGGTGGTGGAGGTTGACAATGGTGGAGGAGGTAGTTGTGGTGTTGTAGTGAAGATAGTGGTGGTGGTGGTTTTGGTGGTGGACGATGGTGGTTATGAAGGTCGTGGAGGAGGTTGTTGCAGTAGAAGAGGAGTTGGAGGTGGCCGACGGTGGTAATGGTGGTGGTAATGGGTGGTGGTGATTGGTGGCCGATGGGTGGTTGTAAAGGTGGTAATGGACGATGGTGAAGGAGGTTGTTGTAGTAGAGGAGTTGGAGGTGGCGAATGGCGGTAGTGGTGGTGGCAATGGAAGGTGGTGGTCGGTGGTCGACTATGGTAATTGTGGCAATGGACTTGGTGGACGATGGTTGTGGAGACGGTGGTACAGGGAGGTGGAGGAGGATGGTGTTGTAGTGAAAGAGGAGGTGGAGGTGGCCACCGACGGTGGCGTCGGCCGAAACTAGCGGCAATGACCATTAAAGCAAATACCATATTAAGGTTATATATCAAACTAGGGTAAATTAGTAATATTTTAGTTTATGTCTCATTCTTTTCCCATCTTGTTCTACTTATTTTGGTGGAACAAGAAAAAACCTCTTTTGTCCTATGTTGACCCACCTTGTCCTAGTTCTTGTCCCTGTCTCATATCGCACCAAACGTGGGAACAATGAGTTCTTGTTCTATCCCATGTTATGCCAAACGTGGGATAATGAGTTTTGTCCCGTCCTGTCCTGTTTCGTCCCATGTACCAAACACAACCTTAATGGATGTTAGTTGGGTTTTAATGGTTCTATTGTGCTTTTATGGTTCTTTTTGAGTTTGTATAGGATCTATTGGGCTTTAATGTATCTATTAGGTTTTATTTGATCGTATTAGGCTTTAACGGTTCTATCGGGCTTTATTTGGTCGTTTTGGGCTTTAATTGATCTATTGGGCTTTAATGGATGTTAATGAGCTTTAACATTTCTATTGGGCTTTGGATATATTGGGTGTATTTGGTCATATTGGGCTTTAATTACTCTATTGGGCTTTAATTGATCGTATTAGGCTTTAATGGATGTTAGTTGGGCTTAAATGGATATATTGGGCTTTATTTGATCGTATTAGACTTTAACGGATGTTAGTTGGAGTTAAATAGATATATTGGGCTTTATTTGATCGTATTGGGCTTCAATTGATCTATTGGGCTCAAATGATGTTAGTTGGACTTTAACAGTTCTATTGGGCTTTGATGGATCTATTGGGCTTCAATGAATGTTAGTTGGGCTTTAACGGTTCTATTGGGCTTAATGGATGTTAGTTGTGTTTTATTGGTCGTATTGGGCTTTAATGGATGTTAGTTGGGCTTTAAAGGTTCTATTGGGTTTTAATGGATATATTGAGCTTTATTTGGTCGTGTTGGACTTTAATTGATCTATTGGGTTTTAATTGGTCGTATTAGACTTATGGATGTTAGTGGGGCTTTAATTGATATATTGGGCTTTATTTGATCGTATTGGGCTTCAATGGATCTATTGGACTTTATTGGATCTATTGGGTTTTAATTTATGTTAGTTAAGCTTTAATGGTTCTATTGGGCTTTAACAGATGTTAGTTTGCTTTAAGGGTTCTATTGGACTTTAACGAATCTATTGGGCTTCAATGGATGTTAGTTGGGCTTTAACAATTCTAATGGGTTTTAATGGATGTTAGTTGTGTGTTATTGGTTGTAGTGGGCTTTAATGGATGTTAGTCGGGTTTTAATGGTTCTATTGAGCTTTAATGGATATATTGGTCTTTATTTGGTCGTATTAGGCTTTAATTGGTCGTATTAGACTTTAATTGATGTTAGTTGGATTTTAATGGATATATTGGGTTTTATTTGATCGTTTTGGGCTTCAATGGATATATCGGGCTTTAATGGATCTATTGGGCTTCAATAGATGTTAGTTGGCTTTAACGGTTCTATTGGGCTTTAATGGATGTTAATCGGGCTTTAACAGTTTTATTGGACTTTAATGGATATTAGTTAGGCTTTAACAGTTCTATTAGGATTTAATTGATATATTGGGCTTTATTTGGTCGTATTGGGATTTAATTGATCTATTAGGCTTTAATT